TAAATTTAAAATAATTAAATTAGAACAAAAGTTATCTTTAATAATTAGTAAGCTTAAGAATTTGAAATCAGAAACTATATTAATATCTATAATTAATAGAAATAATGAAAAAATATATAAAGCAGAAAACAAGATTTTATATCAAATTTTAATAGGAATGAAACTTATTATATATTTCAAAAAAATACCTATATAGCTTTATAAAGCAATAATATTTTTATGGTTAGTAATTCTAGTTATCTTGTAATTGTCTTAGCAATAAAAATTTAATAAATATTTTGTATATAGAAAAAATATAAATCCAATAAAAAAAATTGATAGTGTAATTATTGAACTATTAAAAAATATTATTGAGATTAACTCTAAGGTAAGTAATGAAACTAGTATTAGTGAATTAGTAAGAATAATATATTAATAAAATCTAATATATCACAAATATATCTGAAAATATAACATTACATCTTGTATAACAAGATAATAGTATATTATTATTAATCAAATTATATTCTTAGATTTCAATAACAGAAATAAAAATAATTCTTATTATAATAAATATTTTATTTTATTTATTTTTTTTTTTTTTTCCTCTAATCAAACTGCTATTAGCATGTTTATTAATTCAATTCTGAATAACAATAATACAATGTACAACATAGTACTATACTAAAGCTAAATGATCTATTATAGCAGAACATCCATCAACAAGTTTCAGATTTGTATGTAATCCTTGAATCCTTAATATTAAAACCACCGTGTTGCCCATATGATTTAGCTATTTACTAACTATTTCATTACAAGGGAGTAGGTTTATTAAGCTATTACTGCGTGATACTAACTATCTTAGACTTTCCAAATTCTAACTCTCTAGATGTGATTATGGGGAATAATAGAATTGCTCCTTCCTAGAGCTAGATATCAAAATTTTTGCTTTAAGAGATCTAAGCCAGTCTATATTCAGACTGTCACCCCAACACAACCTTGTTGTCCTAAGAGGTAAAAAAAATTTTTATTTTTTTAAGAAATAAAAGAAAGATAAAAGGAGAAGGAAAAGTTTGTGCTGGTAAATAAAAATTCATCTAAACCAATCACCAGTCTAATGAGAGCCTTCTTTAATCTTGAAGAAAAAAAAAACCGGCACAAGAGGAAAGGAGGAAGACACCAAGCCACTTCTTATTAAGAAAACATCTCAACACCTTGCTCTTTTGCCATTATCCAATTATATTATTGGTCATAGTGTGGTACGACATAGAACATGTGGGAATATATATCTTGTTTACTTTTCTTTTATGTATCAATTAACCAGTCCCAAAATTTCAGCCAATCACCAACCAGAGATTCCGGTGTAACAAAAAATTCAGGGTCAAACTGAGATAGGTAAAATTTCCCAGAAAAATCCAAAAAAAATGTCATACTTGAAAATACTATTACCATATATATGACTAGTGAAGAAAGATTATACACCTGTACAAATAGGTTTCTATCAGCTTATCCACCTGCCTTATAGTGAGATGTTTCACTTATGATGAATCCAAGATTTTTATGGTACTTGGGAAATGCATTCACTTGAAAGGTCCAACTAGCTTATCCACCTGCCTTTAGACCAAAGGTTGTTTACTTATGGTAAATCCAAGATTCTTATGGAGCTTAGGAAATGCATTTATTAGTGGTTCACTTTCTAGAGTTCCAGACCTAGGGAAAATATAGTGGAGGATATTTTTTCGATAGGTTTCTTCTTCCCAATAAGGTATTCTTGCCATAAACCAAATGGGTAAAGTTTTGTTTGTTTTGTTATTGAAACATCCAAAGTTTTTAAAAGAAAAAAAAGTAGACAAGTGGGAGAGGCACTGGTCTTCAGGAAATAATGTTTTTAAAAAAAGTGTATAGACTTTATTATCAAAAATAAAGAAATATTTTTGAGACATCTGTTTTTTTGATTGGCAAAGGAATCAGCGGAAAGAGTTTTTATTATAACAAATATTTTAATAATACCTTTATTAATATATATATTACTTATTTTATTAACTATTGCTATTATATAATTTGTTATATTGAGACATATATAAAATATAAATAGGCTTAGAATTTTGGCTAAATTACAGTATATTAAAAAGCCATTGCTTCACAATAAAAAAAAAGATCAATTATGAATAAGGTTTTAAAAAGTACTAAACTGATATAAAGATAATATTGAAATAGTATTAATCTATAATAAATTTAATATATGGATTGTAATTCACTTATATAAATTTATAATAAATTAAATATTGAATTGATATTGAATAGATATCAAAGTGATACTATTAGAAGCCTTAGCTATGAAATATATAGGTTAAATAATTAAATATTAAAAATATTTTAATTAATTATATATTGAAGTATTACTTTTTTTTAAACTTGAAAGAAAAAAAAAAAGAGCATAAAGTATAAGTAAAACAGATTGTTTAAATTATAAGCAAAAGTTTGAAACTAAAGTAAAGATTTCTATTACTTTATATAAAAAAAAATTAAAAATTTGCTTTTTAGCCCTTATTGAATATGTATAACTATTGTTTAAGATAATATAATCTAGTTAAGTAGTAATTTATTAAGCAGAAAAATTGCTATATTTAACTAATTATTTATTTCAAATAAAAAGATTTTTATTATCTCTGATAAATAAATACAAAAAAAAATTCAAATAAAAAATTAATAATTCGATATCTAAATTATATAAAATAGATTTTTGTATTATATAATTTTTATTAAGATAAAATTTATTTTTTATTTTTTTTTTTTTACACCTAATCAAGTCATATATTGAAATTTATTTATATTCAAACTAGTTCATGAACTATTGAGTTCGAACTACCCCAGGTACAAATGGTATGACACATCAAGTATTGGGTGGATCTATACTATAGGTTAAACTTATTATACTTTATATGGCATACCCATCAACAGCCAATGGCCTCTAGATATAATTAAGGGGAATGCAAAAAGTTGCTCTATCTTGATCCACGTTCCTTGTGGTTTTTGTCTCAATATTATCGCCAGCCCTTTATCAAGACTGTTCACCCTAACTTAACCTCTGTAATCCTAAGGTATAAAAATTTTTATTTTTTGAGAAAGTAAAAGGAAAGATGAAAGGAAAAGGAAAAATTTGCACTGGTAAAATAAAAACCCATCAAAACCACCAGCCTAATGAGAGCCTTCTTTGATCTTGAGGAGAAAAGAAACCAGTACAAGAGGGGAGGGGGAAGACTTCCAAACACTTCTTATCAAAAGAACACCTCGACACCTTGTTCTTTTGCTTTATCCAATTACATTATCAGTTATAATGTAGTATGATACGGGCATGTGTGGGTACATGTCTTGTTTATATTTCTTTTACATATCAATCAACCAATCCAAGATTTTGACCAATCACTAACCAGAGATTCCGATGTAACAAGAAATTCAAGGTCAAACTGAGATAGACAAAATTCCCCAGAAAAAACCAAGAAAATTTTAACATGCTTGAAAGTACTATACAGCATATATGATTGATAAGAGAGGATTATATACCTGAGCTATAGATTCCTACTAGCTTATCCACCTGCCTGGACTACAGGAGTTAATTTATAGTGGACTCAAGGTTCTTATGGAGCTTGGAAAATGCATTCACTTGGCAGGCCCAACTAGCTTATCCACCTGCCTTAAGACAAAGGTGTTTGCTTATGGTGGACCCAAGGTTCTTATGGAGTTTGGGAAATGCATTCACTAATGGTTCACTTTCTAGAGTTTCAAACTTTTGGAGAAAATAGTGGAGGGTATTTTTCTACAGGTTTCTTCTTTCCAGTAAGGTGTTCTTGCTATAGATCAAATGGATAAAATTTTGTTTATTTTGTTACTGAAATATCCAAAGTTTTTAAAGAAGGAAGAGTAAACAAGTGGGGGAGGCACCTGCCTTCAGGAAGTAATGTTTTTAAAGAAGTGTATAGACTTTATTATCAAAAATAAAAATTATTTTTGAGAACATCTGTTTTTTGGGTTGGCAAGAGAATCAGCAGAAAGAGTCTATTCTATTAAAATAAAATTTATATAAGTACTTCTAATATATAATATATATATTTGATAATTATTTTTGTATTATCTGATTTAAGTATCAATAAAAATAATACTTTAAAATATTAAAAAAAGTAATATTTCAAAGTTTTCAAATTAATTATATCACAGGTTTTATTTTTTAATTATAAATAGTATTTATATTTTTTGATATATAATACAGTATATTTAATAATAATATTCAAAATTTTTAATATAGTAATATCTCAAAGTTTTCAATATAATAATATTTTAAAGTTTTTAATATAGTATTATTTTAAGTTTTTTTATAGTTAGGGAGGTATCAGAAATCACATGTTTCTTTAGGAAGAAAGATGGAAAGACCAAAGTATCACATTTTATTTTTTATTAATTAATTATTGCTCAAATTTTTTAAGAAATATTATATTTATATGGACATTATTTAAATAAATTTTGAAATCTATTTATTATATACTATAGTTGGCTATTAGATAATTCAAATGGCATCTATACTAATACAGCATTATGGTAATGCAGATTAACATTGCTATAATTCTAGCTGACACTATATAATGTCACATGTACACGTAATATTCACTTTAAGGAACTCTCACTTTAACGAAGATGGCTTATAATGAAGTATTTTTCTGGAACCAGTTCACTCTTAACAAAATAATTTCAGATTAACGAATATTTATATATAAAATGTTATATAATGATGAATGAAGAATTCAATAGATCATGCATAATAAAATCCATTCACTTTAGTGAAACATAGCGGTGATTGGTTTATTTTTGTAGATCATTTTGTGATTTTTATGGGTTTTTATTGGTTAACAAAATTAAGTTTCGTGCTTTAACAACATGGATTTATCATTATTTTTTGTTTCGGAATCGATTCCGCCTGCATATTATTTGTAACCGTCTTGGTAACCATCTTGGTAAGTTTCCGGGATATGCTGGTTTTCTTTCCTGTTTCAATTTCATTGTCTATGTAAAATTCGGTCGCCACACGTTTTTTTGATGAGTTGACTGGCGAAATTCCACCTTCGCAAGGAGCAATATCCTTTGACACCGATTTTTTGTTATCAGACATATCACTAGATCCCTCAGCAATTCACCGTTATCGCGCCATATGGCTGAATTTTTTGTTTTTTGGTGCAATAATCTAATAAAATGGTTGGTATGAGTCATTTGCTAAATTTTTTGGCTCAGGTGGTGCCGTTAATGGGGGTTCATTGGCTGATGAGTCAACATTAATGACTCCTGAAGATTTTCGTTCTCCATTGCCATGTGCATTGACTTTCATTGTCTCCACTTTTTTTGTAAAGTTCTCATCGTCTCGCCACCTGGTGTCCTTGGAAAATCCCCTCTACATCTTCAGCAACTTTGTCATGTCGCCTGATCGATTCAGATTTTCCTCAGTAAAATTTGTAAATGTCTCATTGTTTGACTAAAACATCGAATTAAAAAAAAATCCTACTTCTTTTTTGATTGAACCGTCGTTTTGTCGCCTTTGTCTGAGGAATCAGTTTGAGTCTGAAAGAAAAATAATGATAATAAAAATAAAATAAAAGGAATAAGTTAAAGGAGGAGTAGGAAAAAAAAAAAAAAAAAACTTTCAAGTATGTATAAAATAACTCTACCACTAAGGTTTCTGTCTCAGTGATTTCGAGTGAGCCTTTACATTCCCTCTTATGTTTACACCCTTTACATATTTAACACTCGTCTTTTATTCACATTTCAACATTCACTTTCTCAATGTGCAAAAGCTTAGGCCAATATATTAAAAGCAAGACAAATTAATAAATAAAAAAAATAATTTCAATGTTTAATAGTTATAGAATCAATACTTAATACCTTTATTCATTTCCAAAATTATGTGTGCTTTTTGATTTTTTACTAAGCATAGATCTCAATCTTTTCGTTAAAGTATATCCTATTCAAAGGTAAAATAAAGTGCTTCTCATTTAACTTCCGAATTACTTCATGGATTACCAAATTACTTTGACAGTTTATAAAGTAAAATACGAAGTTTTTAATTTTTTTTGTCTTATTCTTTTCGAATTTATATTGAATCCATTCTTGTGACCAAAAATCATTATAAAAATTGGCCAATCATAATAAAGTCCGCTATGCTCTCTTTAGTGATATAACGAAGTTCATTAACGTATAACGAACTTCGTTATAGGAATTAACTAATCAGAATCATCCATCTATACGCGTGTTCTTTATCATTATGTCTTCCAAAAAACGTCACATTAAAGACAAAGTGTCCATGTCAAAAAGATCGCGAACAATACTTACACTTGCCCAAAAAAAGGAACTGTGTCAGAAGAAAGAGAATAATCCACATTTAAAACATATTGAAATAGCGAACGAGTATGGTATTGGAGAATCTACTGTTAGTGAAATTTTGAAAGCAAAAGACAGGTGGTTGGCATTTGAAGACGACTCCCCTCAAAAAAAGAATTTGAAACGAGAATGCAAAAGTTATTTTCCTCAAATTGAAGAAGCTGTATCTTTATGGGCGGAGCAGGCAATTCAAGATGGAATCACTTTTAATGGTCATGTTTTACAAACTAAAGTGAAGAAATTAGCTAAGTTAATGAAAATTAAAAACTTTTTAGCTTCAGATGGGTGACTCACTAAATTTCAACAATGAAATGATTTATGAGTTTATAAATGCAAAGGTGAATTAGATAGTGTAGACAAATTACAGCTTCCACAATAGCGCATTGAACTTCAATAAATTCTTTCGTAATATGAACTAAGCGATATATACAACTGTGATGAAACGGCTATTTTTTGGAAAGCCGAACCAAATCATACTTTAGCTTATGTGCCAATCTCTGGAGCGAAATGACTTAAAGATTGTGTTTCGATTATGATCACATGTAATGTAACTGGAGACCACAAGCTATCATTATTATTTATTCATCGAAGTCAAACACCTCGTTGTCTTAAAGGAATTTTAAAACCAAGCCTTCCCGTTTGGTATTATTGGAACGTCAAGACTTGGATGGTGCGATCAATTTTTGGACATTATCTTAACCGTTTAGATTCAATAATGAGACGTGCTAATCGCCAGATTTTATTACTCACTGACAATGCAACATCACATAAACCCGAAGAAGTAATTAATACACTGACTAATATTAAACTTCATTTTTTACCTCCAAATACAACTTCTGTCTTACAACCGCTTGATCAAGGCATTATATACAGCTTAAAAGTAAATTGATTCTTATTGTTATCTCGCTTTCTTTAAGCACATTCTTA